TATGGAACTCTTATATCTTAGTGGGGCAGAGATGGCAATTCTGTTATTCAAAATTTTACACAAGCATTGCCAAGACCCTTGCTAGTCGGTCACGCCTTATCGCGTTATCATCAGCAGAGCTCATTGATTTCTCAGCTAATAAACGTTAGAATTGCGTGCTTGAGGGCTTAGATAGTGAGACTTAGTGAGACTTCTTACTATTCTAACGGTTGGATTGATTGGAATGATTGGAATGAAACGAGTCAAAAACTGACATGTCATCTTCCAGCTTACAGACTCATGTGTGCGCATATGAGTATTTTCAGTCCTTAGGAATATATCAACGTCCGATCCTCGAAAATGATCGTTTCATTGCTTTTGTTATTGGGGATTCCATGGATCCAGTAACTTCACAGATTATGGAGAAGTTCGCCCTACCTATCGGGTTCCAGCAGTTTATTCCGCGGTTTTGATAGATATCGTCATACATTCAAAAGTGTTAATAGACAAGAGTGATCGGTCTAAAAGTCACCTTGAAAAAAAAAATTTTTTTTAAAAAAAAACAGAGGGCAGGTGGTCATTCCCCAAAAGACTTATGTACATGCCTTCTCCCATATCCCTTAATTGAGGGGTCAAAAAGCCACAGCAATTGCGAACAAACGATTATTGAGAGATTGATTCAGATCCAATGGCTGAAGAAAAGCTACAGTTTTGGTAATTGTCAGTATTTCGGTAACACGACAACATGTATATGTGGCTTGAACGGCCGTCATAGGAAGTACCAGAGTCATGAATACATGAGCTCGTTCCCACTAAACCATTTACATAAATTTAACCCCTATGCCTTAAGTATACAGTACATGTATTTGTTTTGGTAAATTTGAGTTGATATGGCTTAGCAATATTTCGTAGTAATAATATGTTTACCTCTCTAACTACATGTACATGTACATATAACCAACCGTCCACTTATTGATATATCATGAATTAGTCCGACCCATGAACATAAAAGAGCCTACATAACAAGCTGAACTCATAATCAAGATAAGTGATTGTCTCGATATCAAAGGTGTTCAAATCGCGAAGACCTCTATAACATAGTGCCTGTAAATACCTACCGATACTCCATCTACATCTACTTTAACTACAGCTGTGATGTTCTAATTCATTCTCTTGTACCCATATATATGTAATGTACACTTTATTACTAGAAGGGGCCGGGGTGGATATGTACTTTACTAGCTAGGCTACCGAATCAACTACTTAGCTATCCAAGTGAGGGGAAATATCCGATTGTGAGTACACGCGCTATTCCAGCAGTTTTCTTATATATGTCTACTTATATATAGATAGCTTCGAATTCTTTCAGGATGTGAATATTTAGGCAATATATAAGTATATGTATCTCTAATTCCCGGTATACACCCGCCGCACGATCATGAATTTATGCAGCCACTGGGACTTAGCTGAATGAGTTTAATTGGACGCACATCGAGACCGGGGTTAATAATTACAAGATCTCACATTTCCCGCCCTGATCGGCCCATCTGCAGTACAATATTAAATGATCGTGCTGGCTCAACTACATACATAACAAATACATGTATCTGCTCAGGGTTGATATACCTACTTGAAGTACAATTTAGGCACTTACAACATATATGGGACTACAGTAAAACCTATCATAATTCCACCCCCACAGTGGCCAAACTTTGCTGGAAGTATCGTAGGGATGGAATTTAGAGAGAGGTATTTGTTAGCAAAACACAAGTTCCGTTCCCTCCGAACGCTGGAAGTTTGGTAGGGATGGAATTTCGAGAGGGTGGAATTATGATAGGTTTCTCTGTATATACAAATGAACTAGAGTACGTAGACGTGTAATAATAACCTGGAAACTTTCATAATGCACCCATATATATTAAGGCCGCATTCTGTTGCAACGAAATATCATGATATTTGGCCAGCTTAGCACAATATGTAAGCTTTTTTCTGTTGGTAGTGTTCGAGCAACCACTTTAGAGCCCCAATATCACAATCTAAAATATTCTACTCAGACCAAAATATTGAAGCTTGCATTGCACAATCCTCACCACCCTAACCACCACTAAATTCGCTACCAAACTCACCAATATTTTTACCGCCATTTTTATAGCTCTCAATCACTGTGACTCTAATATAATTTAAATAGAATATTCTAATTCATTTATTAAGGCTGTTTACTGACTAGGTTGACGAAACTATGGGGGTTGCGGGAACACTGGCAATAGAACATGCCTTCACTATCTTAATTCTGCTAGATTGCAATTATGAAATATTCCGTTGCTACATTGGCAGGTCGCAACCTCACAATATTTGAACTGGCGGTTGCCAGAACGCAGCCTAAAACCTGAGACCCGAAAACCAAATTAGTTTAAAAATAGAAAAGAGAAGATCGGCGCTGCAGGGTCATACTTGTATCATGTGCTCGTACAGAATTTGAAAGCCAATAGTACATACCCAGCCCAATATCAGACTTGCTGGGTTAGTAGAGATTTTGATAGCGAAGCTTGCGTCGGTGGTTTGTGAAGCTAGCCTATCAAACATTTTAACGAACCAATGACAGTGCACATGTCGACGTCATGAGTCATGGCCAAGGGAGACTGTGGTCAGTATTACATGTTATTAGAGTACATGTACCTACATAATATACTCGTATTTCTCTGACGTTTGTGGACGCGACTGATATTGCATGCCATACAAAAATACGCCAAGCTCATGATTTTGGGTGTATGCAATAATGGCCCAATTCAAAAACGTCAGCGAAATACTAGTACCTGTTTGATCTGGGCGCGTTCCCTGCCTCTCCTACTGGAGGGTGTCGAGCTGCTCGTAGGGGAATATAGCTTGGCAAAATAGCGTTTCCGGGGTTTCAATCAAAATAAGGTTTGATGGACTCGAAACTACATGCACTGCTTGTATTTGTTTACGGTGGCTTTAACCACTGCATGTAACTTCATATGCTTTGTGTACAATCCCCACATAGCTCAGTCTTCGATACACCTAATGTGGTTACATGTATCCTGATTCCTGATCATACTTAACTAACACGCAGCAGGTCCATCTGAGTAGGATAAACCCGGGGAAACTGCTAGAGGGACTCTGAAATATCGCTTTCCCGGAAGAAGCCGTTGGACTTTCACCTCCAACCATTCTCGGTCATCACCTGGAAGATTACTGTTTGGTCATGATCTCCTGTAGGTACAAAGCAAGAGTTAAGCGTATAAAATCTGGACTTCAGCTGCTGTCAACAAAGCTTTGTATATACATGTACATATATGTACACTCTAATTCAGCACACCTCTAGCTCTGAAAGTACATGTAGCTATAGTGTAGATTATATCGACATGACTTTCGATCAGATTCCTTCAAATGTCGGTCGGTTTGTAGACAGTACGATTTCTTTGCCATCTCGTTCAACCGCCCGCAAATCCAACCTTTGAAGCATTCGGAAGTCAGTAAATGTAATTAATTGAGGAATCCCCTTCAAATTGACGCCAGCTGCATGAGAGATTCCCCCCCCCCCCCCCGGGGCCCTCTTGGCGGTAACCTCTTGTATGTCGCATCACACCGCTCCCAACACCGCTCCCAACCCCTCCCTTTTATAACCGTGATAGCCTATGCTACTGTCTACAGATCCAGCTGGTGTTTCTCCGCCGTGTATCTATGCACATGGATCTACTCGATGATATGGCGGTTTCGACCTGTACCCAAGTGGATGCGATTTTCAAGAATGATGACGAGGCACGAAGGAATCCTATGTACGCGCGGCCGCCGAGAGACATGTATCTCTCGTCTCATCTGTTTTTAGCCTTGTACATCATGAATGTGGTAGGAGTGCTAATAACCCCTTAGAAATCGAGTAGATATCCGACGTTGCAGGTCGAATCTATCGCGGGGTCGGGAATCTTCGCTAAGGACGAGAGCGACCGAGTGAGCGGTGATGATTTGCCAAGGCCTCAACGGCGAGCCCTCTCAAGTCTAGAAAAAGCCAAAAACGACCCACAGAAAAAGAAGATTACGTGTGCCTCGGAATATCATGTCTCTTTTAGAGAAAGAGATCCATCATGGATGCAAGCGGCATGGATTTTCCAATGCATGCAGTAGGCCCATCTGTGAAACGTTTGAAGGTGGGGTAGAAGATAAACTATTGCAGCCGCAACGGTCGAGACCTCCACAAGCCCAAATGGGTAGGTTCTTAATGTTATTCCGACGGGTTATGATATCTGCATGCAAGACAGTCCAGAGTTTCTAGATCTACGGGTAAAGACAGAGTTATGGGAGTATTTTGAAATTCATACAAGCATTGTTAAATTAGTGTAGAGAGGTGCTAATATTCTGTGCATGTAACGGTAGAGTGGTATAGTTCCTTTTATTCAACAAAAAGCAAAATATACACGTTATCAACGCCATGTTAATTTTACATAATAGGAAAAACCACTACTGACAATCTCCGGCTCTAGTAGAACTCGTGCCAATTAAGATAAAGGTCCAGGTGAGGCGTATAGTAAGCACAAATGCTCGGAGGGGTGAAATAACGGAAAAAGCAGCCTTTAGCAAGACAGATACAAAGTGGTATCCGAAAGCTAATTATAAGCATACATAAATGAGTGTGGGTAGCGGCGAACCGGAGATGATCTGAGAAAGAAAAGCCTAAAAAACCGCCGCTCTATCAACCAAGAAAAAGAATGGCGAGAAATAGAAAAAAAAGAAACAGGGTGATTTATATATAAAAAACACCTTGTATGTATGTCGAGGAAAAACCGTGTACTTAGAATTCACCATTACCTTGGTGTTATGCAAGAAGATATGAGAAATAAGAAAGAAGAAAATTCCCCAGACCCAGAATAGAAAGATGGTGAGCGGAAAGCCTCCGCAAACGTTACTGCCCCCCTTTTGAACCCCAAACCCAACGCTAATAACAAATACGTCCCAAATTTTATTACACGAAAACAAAAAACTTATTCCTATATGAGTGTTTGAAACTAATCGTCAGGATTTGCCAGCTAGATCAAATACAAAAGTTAGCATTTATCTCTAGTCTAATTATATGGATTTCGACATACCCGCAAGACCCGTCTCGAATAATCAGCGTCGTCTCTCAAACTCCTCACACTCATCCGTGAACTTCCAGTATCGGGATCGTATCGCAGGTATAGCTGGCTAGGATCAAGCCGTTGATCGACCAATTTGGTTCCATCAGGTCCTCTTGCAGCGGTTCCCACCCCATTCAATCCTGCCATGTTGGGCGGGCCTGTTGAGGGCGCAGTATCTACCGAGTGAAATCCTTTCTCTCCCATTAGACCCAGTGTGCTCAAAGAGCGAGACCTCCGACGACTACCAGCCATAACACCTGCGCCGCCGGCGGGGATAACAGCAGCCTCTGGACCACCATGCATTGAGTTTCTTTGTTTATTTCTACGGTAGCAGAAGACCATAAGTGCCCCAACGATAGCAATAACCAGAAGAGCAACACCAACGAAAACACCTGCAACGCGTCCGGGTTGTGAGAAGAAGTTATCACCACTCGCGGATGGCTCTGCTGTCGCAGTTGCTGATGCTGTTGTCTCAGGTATATAAGTAACCGTTCGGACACCTCCGACTGAGGTTATAACGGAAAGACTAGGGGTTTCGGTTGTGGAAGTAGAGCTAGAGCTAGTGGTGGAAGTAGTTGTAGTAGTTGGTGCAGATGTTGTACTTGTTGATGATGATGATGTCGAAGACGCAGTCTGCAGTTATGTGGTTAATGAGTAAGTTGTAATAATAGTAATAAATCACTAGTAAGATAACATATAATAAACGATAAATACATATAAAAAAAGAAAAATAAGAGAATACTCATACGATTATGATCGTCCGGGTAGGTCCAGCTTCGATAACCGTAGAGATTTGGAGGGAGAAGGAAGAAATTATATAAGGAGGATTCGAGGTAGTTCTCACCGATGAAGAGGAGCCAACGGTGCCACTCGGTGGAACATTTGAAAGAGCGATGTAGCCGAAAACGTTCTTCGTGACACTTCCACATGTTTCTTGTCCGTATCCAGGGCATGCTTGAGTACAGCCTGTGGTTGTTGAAGATGGTGCATAATTTGAACACCAACATTTTGAGCCTTGGAGAATAGCAAAGGCATAATCGGCTTCACAGTAATTGGTACAGAGGCCATTACTCTGGAATGTATCGGTCACTAAACGGATAAAATACCACCGTCAGTTTTCAATCCAAATTATCGCTTCTTCAAACTTCAGGTTGAATAGGAGGTTAGCGTACTTGGTGATGAGCTTGCAGCAGTATTGAGACTAGAGCAATATGCCATATCCGCCGCATTACTGCTTCCAATTGCACATGACAACAGCAGCACTGTCGTCAACGTCGTCCGCAACCACCATCCCCCAACCCCAATACCCATGCCCATGCCCATGCCAAACTGTCGCTTTCGCTCGTGGTTCTGTCCACGCATAACTTCCGTTCCAGACTGAGTCGCAGTGTATTGGGGTGTTCGGTCACTATTGTTTGGTCGTACCATCGTAATATTGTAAGTTGGGAGCAACGTATTATATTGACTGGTGTTTCGAAAGGCACGAAACCATCCACCGAGGGCAAAAATATCGAAGTTCGAAGGTTGCTTTAGATTAGGCCGGGAGGAAGGTACGTAAAGTTTTAAGTAGAAACGGAGGCTACCAATGCACGAAACAAAATCAGCTTCACAATAGCCTATATCGTTTTGGAACCACTTACTCTCAACAAACTATTTCGGCCCAAGAAAAGGCAGAATTATTTCAAACGACTAACCGAAAAAAGAAATCACGAGTATTCAAAGAACGACAAGCACAAATAACGAGTGTATCCACGCCAGCTATTTGCTGCCCAGTCCACGAAACTGTGGATGACGAGGAAGGATAGTGAGTGACAATAAAGCTGAAAATGAATATGCACCTAATGAGTGTACTGACTGCCGCCGAACCGATTGAATGGGTCGAGCGAGCGGTGTCGAAAGATGGAGGAAGTTGAAAGTTGATCAGAGGAAGATTATCGAGGTTGAAAGATTTGTTCCTGGGTCCGTGTTCAAGGAAACAACCAAACGCTCAGGAGGGTAAAGGAGGTATGAGTGCTTAGCAGAACGGAACGAAACTGCGGCACAATTTGGAATTAGCAAGGGATTGCGAAAGAGGACGGACGGGCGGGATGCTCGGCCAAAAAAGCAGGCCCAAGAAGATCGACGGACAACACCGCACGGCCTGGGCTAGCTGGCTTGGGCAATTCTCTTGTCCTTTGAGGAACATGCTACATACCTTTTGGGCTGAAGGGGAAATGGGCGAGAGACGAAAGCGAGAGCGGAGCCCAAAAGGACGTTCGTCAGCAATTCAAGCGAGCGGGAACTGCCACTATTCGTTGTATTATTTTTGAGGCGTCCTTGGGCTGCAGATAGCCTGCTGCTGTGAAGGACTCTGTAACAGGAGGAAGGATATGGATGTTTGTTGGTAGAAGTCTCAGTTCCACAAATTATCCTATGTCCGTCAAAGCGCTATAACGACAGTTAGTAAAGGAGAGGTGTTGCAGCAGTTTCGTCGACTATTATTGCTGCGGAACTATTCACAGTTCACTCTGCTGGAGGTGGAGAGTCGAAGAGTCGAAGGAGAATATTCCCAAGAGTTTGGGAGTTCTGGAGATAAGTTCGCCACGGATGTACTCCCGGCTTGTGTAGGGATCATATAATTGAGAACCTCCAGGCCGGGATGTGACCCATGGTGTTTACAAGGGTGTCGTACGCTCCGTGTTATCCTATGTACACAAGGTGCATGTGTGCTCGCCTCTACGGGCATACACTCTCTGGGGTGCTGCAGTTACCGGAAACTGCATTTCCCGGCGGAGTGTTTTGTGCCCCCGAGACCTTAGAATCTCAAGATACGAAGAAGGCTTGCTACTCTTGGTGTGCTATCACCTTAGTCCACTGTTTCCTACCTCCACGCTGACACTTCAGCTTTCGAAACGGACTGCACACTGCACACTTGTGGATATATAAATATAAATATGCACACATCTCGCGTCGATAAGTGGCCCCATTTTTATTTCTTGTTTTCGGAGACTTAAACATCGAGTTAACACTGGGTCCAATCACCGGCAAGTTACGAGCATCTTATGACCATCCTCAGCTACATATGTAGTATGTTGTGCAATTCTATGTGGTCTTTTAGATCGAGTTCCCCCACAAGACTCAATTTTCATATCACCCTTCATCTACTCTTTGTTTATTTATTTTTGGTGTTTGCCCCCAATTAATTCAGATGTTTACCTATTTCGTCTCTCGCAATTGTTTCCGCATGCCTAACCCGTTTCGTCCGCATACATATGTAGGGCTACTGCAGTGCACCTGGACAGAGATGAGAAACACGGGAATGAGACCTGCGAGAATGCGCTTCGTAACCCAGTTAAAGCTACCAAAATCCACTGTTTTTTTTTTCTTCAACGCCATCTTCAATAATATCTCTTCTCACCATCTTCCGCGCGCTTCTTTTGGGGTTTAGGGCTCTTGTATCTTCATTTCTGCGGGTTTATTTTGTTAGAGATCTAGCCATCATATTATCCTTCTAGAAGGAGTCGTAGTGTTGTTGCAAATACCCCTATTTTTAGTAATGATATTCAACGACTACAGCCATCTGGATACATCTATCATTTTACCCCGCTTCTCTCTGCTTGACTGGCAGTTTCTTGAGATGGGACTTCGTAGGTGAGTGACAGTTACATCTTACAAAAAAAAAAAAAAAATTGGCGATGCCGCATGGCCTTTTCCGGCCGGATTTCGCTCTACACCCATGCTGCTTTTGAATTACGATCGACACTATCGTCGTCACGGGCAAGCCTCATCCGTCATTCGGAAAAATTACCCCTGATCTGCATATCTACCGGACAACAAAATTGAACTCTTTACAATTGATTAGCTCGCGATGTGCTCTCATCATCAAGGATTTCGTCAAGTTTCTTTGGGGATATTCGCAAGGAAAACCTAATAGGTGGACCTTATTTGTGCAGCGTTTTATAGCGACCTGGAAATTTGTACCCGCTGTGATGCTGCATTTGGATGGTACATAGACAAGTTGAAACTCCGAACAGAAGAGAGGCGCAGAAAAATCTACTAGCGCTAACAAATGACAACAAGGGCGATAGATTCAGAAACAGGAAAACAGCGTACGGAGAGATCAGCGATATATACTGGCTTTATCGACGTCAGAAGACTCAGAATTCACGCTAGAATTCCCGGAAATTTCAGATTTTGGAGTGATGCCGATGCTGTCGCAATACCACGTTTCCCCTTCGGCATGCCGTAGTGGAGAAAAGTGCATTGAATGGTGACAGCGGAGAATATCTTCAACGGTCCTCTACCATGCTAGATTGATTCGCACCTTACTGAATAGAGCGATTTGGCCAACGACTTCTGAACCTAAATATTTAATTCTTGGCGACAGTTTTTGGTGTGAAAATCCCGCCAAGGCCTCAAAATTTGAGCTCAAAATTTGAAAAACAGGGATTGGCCAAATCGCTCTAATGCGGCGCACTGCAGGACTGTGGTGCAAGACGCAGGACTACTTGAAGGCGTTGCGAATATCACTTTGATGCAGAGTAATCGTGGTTGTATCTGCTATTTATTTGATTCGAGGTTGGTCGTTGTTATCCCCCTTCGCTTGTCGACCAGGCCTTAAACTAAGGTTTTAACACCTGCAGTAGAAGAGTACGGGGAAAAACTAAGGGACAAACAGGGACAAACAAGCCACGTTGTTACAAAAAGGAACCAATACTATGATAGGAAACGGACTCACTAAGGGAATCTCCAACATGTATTTCACAACACATAACGTTTGACTACAGGAATACTCCACAACCATTCAAAGTTAAAGACCAAACCTTTATCTTCCAGAACCTGTCGCACTAACGCTTATCTTCAACCCGGCGATGATACATTTCTTTATTTACCTATCTGCAATTTTTTTTCTTTTTTTCTTTCTGGAGTGCAATAGATCATTGTTGTCGCCTGCGCTTAAAATGTATGCACATTCCCTGTCGTTGAATCGTATCTCTGTGTATCTAAAAATCCAGTCTGCTACAGCCTAACTTCTAGGGGTACTTTCATACCGTACTCACATACAGGCAGATATCCAAGACCAGCCACCGTTTAAATGTTTGGATACGAGATCCCCCACAGCCCCAAGTCTTCCTTCGGTAGATATTTGCAAGGTCCGTGCAAACTTCAGAGCTTTCTGAGTTCAGTCAGACTCATCAGGTCTCTGGGACCCTGACAGCTTTCCCCTTTTCTTTCCTTTTCCAATGACTCACGTTGTACAAGCCGTGTTGTTATGTTCTGCCTTAGTAAGGCACATTGGCCTTTGTACTCTATGTAGCGTATCGACCAGCGGTAACATCAGCACGGTTCGTAGACTACATACATGTATAGACCGAGATTCCCGGAAATATTTTTGGACGAACGCTGACACGCGTTCGTCCCATTGGACGCGTACAGCTAAACCAATCTGTCGTCTAAAAAGGAAGGGGTGATTTCAGGACCCGTGCAAATGGGAAAGTTCAACATGCAATGTCGAATTTCAAGAAAAGCGGCAAACCTGCAAAGGGGGATTTCTAGATGGCTGGGTCGCGTCAATATATGGCAATCGCATTTCGGTAGAAGCTTCCTTAGCTACTTTCTGAGGGATTTACAGAAGCTTGAGATGCAACTTATGAATGCCCGATACCGGTACCGAGTTTTCTCATGTTTCAGCACTATGCCAGGGGAATCCCTCATTAACATAATTCCAGAGGTCCAAGTGGGTTGTCCGAGTGACGTGGAATGATGCTACCCCCAGGACATCCCGTGTTCCTGAAATCTCCATATATAGAGTGACCAACCCCCAAAGTGGTAGTCACACAGACCACAAGGAGGCACCTAATTTCCACAGGCCTCGAAAATCCGTTTAGTCGTGTCCGATCTAGGAATACGTTGGCGGTTGGAAGAAAATATTAAAGAAAAGAAAAGAAAAGCAAAGAAAAGGAAAATTTGATCGGACCCCGAAATCCGACACCGAGACCCCCGGAAGAACTTCGTTTACTAAGCGGCGGTTGCGAGGCGCACGGACTCTACCTGCTCGAGTACCTCGGCGTTGCTGTAAAAGTTTCAACATCCCTCGCTCCGATAAGAACTTACTTCTACATTGATCATTGATACCTAATATTATACCACTATAGACGCTCCTTTACGAGCCACTTCACAGTATGAATAAAATGCTGATTAAGATCTTCCGAAGGCATGCTCATTCCTCGCAAGTACACCCATTGACAGGCTTCTATAAACGTGAGTTTCTCGATGTCACATCCCCGCCACTCTTGTGCTAACACCAAATACTTATAGTACTCCTTGACACTCCATTTCGTCCCGCGAATCCTCTTCCGCCAGGTGTGCCACACCCACCTGCCACAACACCGCCAACAGAACCCTTCTCTCCAAACGATCCCACTACCACGGCGGATGCAGATACCCGTGTTGAGAAAGCACGTGTAGTATTTGGATCACGCCTCGCAGGACCAGGGAAGCGTGAAGAGGAGAAGAGACGGAAGGGAACTATCATTGCAGGTGTCAAGATCCCACCGAAACCGACGGAACCGGATAATTGCTGCATGTCGGGATGTGTCAACTGTATTTGGTTCGTCAGGCACATGGAACCCAAACTCAGGAGCTGGTTTAGCTAACGCATTGAACATAGGGACATATTCAGAGAAGACCTGGAAGCATGGCGTGCAGCTATGCATGAGGCACGGGCGAAGCAGAAGTTACAGAATGCTGCACAGGGTGTTAGCAGTAGCAAGGATGATGATGGTGGCCCGCCAGCTGGCGGGCTGTGGGAGGGATACGATGATATCCCAATTGGCATGAAAGCTTTTATGGAGACTGAAAAGCGCTTGAAAGAGAAGCACAAGACAATGGGGTCTACACCGGGTTGATACTGGGTTAGACCTTGAGAGTTAAGCTAGGGGTCTACTTTGCCTCGCCCATGAGTCTATAGGGCAGTACGTCTGAGGATTTGCTGCCTTCGATGGTTGTTGTTAGTTTCAGTGAAAAAAGCAATCGCCGGTCCTCAGTGATGGGACCATGATTACCACGTTTTAGATTTGGATTTGGGCTCGTAGGACGATTTGCATCTGGGTATAGAAAAAGGGTGGAGTTTGGAGTTAAGAGATATAACCTGTCTAGCCGAATTTCTGTATTTAAATACCATACTTTATAATTACATTATGCATCGTAGGTTGAGATATCTCATACAACCCTAGCCCTGGTTATTTTAGATTGGCTAATATTGGACTGGATAGTCGCCCACTCTACCTCTAATCCCGAACTTCATATAATTCTAGGCGAAGTCGAGTCGACACCAAAACCCATTCCGGTTACTTAACACCTAAGAGTTTCTCAGGAATATATTGTTGATATTCCTTAGCAGCTGACGGCTGTAGTCGTCCAATCCCACTGCTCCGGCGTGCAGAAAGACAGTAAAAAAACTAAAAACTAAACTCTTTGTTTGGGGGGGGGGGGGGGGGGGGTCGTACTGCGACGGAACGCCGGTGACTCTACTCTATGGGGTAGTTAGTATACCTTACCTACAAGGCAAGAAACGGCCTGGCGCAGAAGGGAAGAAGAAATTAACATTGAATGTCTCAAGCACGGCAAGAACAGGCAATTCCCATTGATATAATGCAGGGGAACATCGGCGAAAAAGTGAAACAGTATCTCGCAAATATTTCCATAGGTAAACTGTATAGTGCACTTTTACTATGGCATCATAGCCCACCGGCATCCCTTTTGGTTCATTTCATTCTTTATGCCCTCCATCTCATATCCTTTTCTACCTTTTGGCTCATTATCTTTCTAATCAATTCACCGACCGCCTGGTATTTTGCACCCATATCCATGGCGTGGTGGCCTTTCTGTTCCACTGAGCAAACCCTGCGACCAGCTTCCACAACTCTTTCAAAATCTTCGTACTCAAACTCTCCGTCACTTTCGACAAATCCCAGTTGGCCGGTACTGGTGAAAGCGAGAACATGTGTGCTGGAAGAATTTTTCAACTCGTCTAGTCCTGGTTCCACAACAACCCCGCCGCTACCCTTCATGAAGGCCACTGTGGTAGCAGCAAGGACGCTTTTCAGTGGCACAGCAGCATCCAATAGGGCTAAAACAGCAGCATTCATGGCTGGTGCAAGTAATAGGAGTGTAGTCGAAGCATTTTCATCGGTTCCGGCTGTTTGCACGACCTGCACCACAATCTGGATCAAAGTTCGGGGGTGGTTGGATCGGAGGATCAGTGGCTTGAGGGCAGAGAGAAGGCGCGCCTCAAGATACTTTTCCCTGGTACCTGGACGGGTGATAGTTAGCGGAATAGTAAATTTGTTAAGTGGAGAAATGGCGCACTTGTGACTCCAATCGCTGGTCTGACAATCACCTCGACGTGTGATTTCTGTGGGAGTTCATCACGAATCCGAACCTCCATGGGACCAGTTACGGAGGCGATGATAGATGTACGTCCTGAGACGAAAGATCCCGAGCCATCTGCTCTTGGAAGAAAGCCGATTGATGCGGTGTTGCTGATGACCATTGTGCGTAATGTTAATTACTAGAATCTGCAATTGTTGAGGTCCTTAGTTCCTTTTTTTTTTTTTTTTGATGTAAAGCAGGTAGTAGAAGTCTCAAAGTTTAGTTAAGCGATAGATACATATATGTAGATGACATGCGCGACAGACACAAGCTATAGTGCCAAGACCAACCCCACATGCAGCCGCAACCATTTTTCTTTTCTACCCACTCTCTTGGTTATTTTTCTCCTTCCTCCCTTCCTTCCCTTCCCCCCGACTCTCGTTTGTCCTGCGATATATAGACTTTTCATACCCTCCTTAATTTCGTTCCCTTCTTTTACGGTCATCTAACGAAATATTAACGGCAAAATGAAGTATGTTCTGGTTTCCGGAGGTCTGTTATCATTATCATTATTATTCTCATAGATTGGATTTGAAAACCCTAACAATTTTTTTATATTATAGGCGTTATCAGCGGGATTGGGAAGGGCGTAATTGGTAATTCCTTCATTTTCATTATTCAGCAAATCAGAAGCTAATCATGTATATTTGAGATTTGAATAGCCTCCTCAACAGGTTTACTGTTGAAGACCATTGGTCTTAAGATATGCGCCCCTAGACCCTAGTGAGCTATCGATATGCTGGTATTGACTCTCTGTGAACGTTACATCGATCAAGATTGATCCTTATATGAATGTCGATGCCGGAACCATGGCTCCTACTGAGTAAGACATATATTGCATGTTCAAGCGGGCTATGGCATATGGAAATATTAATTTTATTCTTCCCAATAGGCATGGGGAGGTTTTCGTCCTCAATGATGGAGGAGAGGTTGACCTCGATTTGGGAAACTACGAGCGCTATCTGAACATCACTCTCACCCGTGAGAACAATATTACTACAGGAAAGATCTACCAGCATGTTATTGAGCGCGAGGTATGCTGAGACAATTCCTATCTTCGATAACAATGTAAGCTCACAAATAATGGCAGAGGAGAGGAGATTACCTTGGAAAGACTGTTCAGGTTGTTCCTCACTTGACCGACGCCATTCAAGACTGGATCGAACGTGTGGCACGCATCCCCGTGGATGAAACTAATAGCGAACCGGACGTCTGTATTATTGAGCTTGGTGGGACCGTTGGAGATATCGAATCTGCACCATTTGTCGAAGCCTTGAGACAGCTCAAGCGCCGCGCCGGCAAGAACAATTTCTTGCAAATCCACGTTTCACTCGTTCCAGTCATTAACGGAGAACAAAAGACCAAACCCACACAGGCGGCAATTAAGGACGTGAGGTCTGCTGGTCTGGCCCCGGATCTTATCGCTTGCCGTTGCCAGCAGCCTTTGACAAAGAGCACAATCAAGAAGATCGCCTTATTCTGCGATGTCCTTGACCAACAGGTCCTAGCGGTACACGATGTGAACTCCACCTACCACGTTCCTCTACTTCTCGATAACCAGGATCTTATTGGACTTCTCTCCGAAACCCTGCAGCTCGGCAAGCTTGAAGTTTTACCAGCTTTGTTGGAGAAGGGCCAACAGACCTGGAAGCACTGGAAACAATTGACCCTGGCACAGGACAGGCTTTTCGATCAAGTGAGCATTGCTCTTGTTGGTAAATACACCGACCTGCACGATTCATACTTGAGTGTCATTAAGAGCTTGGAACACTCTGCTATGAGGTGTGGAAGGAAATTGAATTTGATCTGGGTCGAGGCAGAGGCCTTGGAGACCCAGATGAGTACCCAAGATCCGGCAAAATACCACAAAGCTTGGCATGATGTTTGCACTGCAAAGTATGTTTCCTAAAATTCTCTTCGGAAATTTTAAACTAATCTTCTGGAAGCGGTGTTCTTGTTCCTGGAGGTTTTGGTGTTCGAGGTACCGAGGGAATGATTGCCGCGGCCAAGTGGGCTCGTACCAACAATACCCCTTACCTTGGAATTTGTCTTGGTATGCAGATCGCCGTCATTGAGTACGCTCGCAATGTTTGCGGAATGGAGGGTGAGTAGATACCAAGAGAATTTCATTTAAGAACCCCCAATCTAATGATGTTTGCAGGCGCCCATTCCGTAGAAATTTCCGCCCATACAGACCACCCGGTTATCATCTTCATGCCTGAAGGTAGCAAGACCCATCTCGGTGGAACCATGCGCCTTGGTATACGCCCCACAATTTGGCAACCGGGTAGCGAGTGGAGTAAACTCCGGCAGCTGTACGGTAACTCAGACGAAATTCTCGAACGTCACAGGCATCGTTACGAGGTCAATCCCGAATATATCGAGAAGCTTTCCGGATTGAATTTCGTGGGAAAGGATGACAAAGGTGAAAGAATGGAGATTGTCGAATTGAAAGATCATCCGTTCTACGTTGGTGTCCAGTACCATCCGGAATATTTGTCGAGAGTATTGCAACCCAGCAAGCCGTTTTTGGGTTTCGTTGCTGCTAGTTGCGGGTAAGCTCTATCCTTACTAGAGAAAGATTAGGCGATGGTATCCTAACTGGTGTTGCAGAGTTTTGGATGAGATCCTCGAGAAGCCTGATGCCCTTGTGGTTAACGGGGTGTCTGCACCATGAAGGTGGAGAACCCTCGTGTCCGCAATCCTTGTTGTTTCGACAGTTTTATTCCATCTTCCCTCTAATATTTTCTTCGCGGCGCTTCTTTTTTCCCGAAATATGCCGGTTGGCAATAAAGTAGATACGACAGAATGTCAAGACTTGTAAGGAGAGTACATAGAATTCTAACAATCATGTCTTGTCTAGATGTCTCCATCAGTGAGGTTAGCATAGACCCTATTCCTCCTTCTGCTCAACTTTCCCCATCTCCAACTCAACTTCTCGCCTTATCTTCTCCGAAACTTGCCCTATCTGACCAGGCTCTTTATTAGCCTTGACAAGCCATTCCAGAGCCTCAGATAGTTTCCCCTCTTCCCGTAATATAATTGCCAGGCTCATTTGACTTGCAGCGTAGTCTTCTGTCGCGGCAAGTGTAAACCACTCACGTGCAAGTAAGGGTTTGCAAGTTTTGGCGTAGTGCGCACCAAGAGAATGGGCAGCTGAAATGATACCCGAGGCGGCAGCTTTGAGGAGATATGTTTCTTTTTGAGGGGAGTTATCTTTCGCCGTTGCAAGATAGAGATAAGCATAGGGGTCATCTATGAGTAAATACTTGATTAGCTACTGGTTTCAGATTGGGTCTCGGGGATTGGGTCTCAGAGAGATGGAGCTATTGGGCGAATTTAGATTCATAGTAGAAGGCAAGAAATTGAAATGTCGTGCTCTACTCCCATAAGTACCAATATCTAGAAACATACCGAGTTCTAACCCCTTCTCAAACGAAGCTATTGCTTTTGTTGTATCACCTCGTTGCTGCTGTAATCGTCCCATTGAAGTCCACGCCGCTGCAACCCCCTTCTCTGCTGCCTTCTCGAACCACTTCTCCGCTTCTATCTCCTTTCCCGATTGGCTTACCATCTCTCCCATCCTGAACAGAGCACCAGGATGCTCGTGCTCAGAAGCAATTTTTCTCAATCTTTGGGAAGTATCACGAAGATCTTGAACCACGCGGGGGTTCTGCTTCGTATTCGAAAGTTGTCTGTGCAGTTCAATCGTAGCTGTTGGGTCATGAAGAGTCGAACACGTAGAGAGGAGATGAAAGCCTACTTGGGCTTGTGCAGGAGAGTCTTTAGGTGCCGAGCGTATCAATACGAGCGCGAGACGTGTTAGATCAGCGGGAGTTATATTATGCTCTACTTAGATTAGCCCTTCCTAATTTAAAAACCACGGAACCCTCGAGATACCATCACATATAGCCCTTCCACTACTCTCATTCGGTTCGTTTGCCATCATTGGCATATAGTCTGCTACAAGCCTTGTTGCAACAGCAGGACCGAATGGGAGCGCTTTTGATTTATGGGCAGAGAGGAGCACATCGTTTGGGATTGAGGGAACCCTGTATCGCCATCCATCTTCAATCTGTTGCTTGTGACGAATAGCAAAAGCGGGGCGAAGGCGCGCTGCGAGATGACTACGGGAGGTATGGAAGTATTGGGCATGGGCGCCAACTCGGAATCGTATCGGCGGAGGCATTTTTGATGGAGCTGGTTGAGTTTCTTTGACACCAAGGGGAGGGATTGAGATAAGCTTTTGCAGCCTCAATCTTGGCGGGGTAGAGTCTGAATCATAGATTATCACTCGGCATGGACATTTGACCTGCAGTACTGCAGTCGTTTATTTTATTGTGATTGGATAAGTACATGTATGTACATGTGTACCTACATAATAGCAACACTGATTTGTTCTCAGCTGCATGTAACTGCCATGTTTGTCGGCCCTTGCTGTCTCACTCCAGCTGTTGATGTATCGTCCTTTCTTTTTTCGTCCCTTGGCTTTTTTTACGCGGTACGAAGTACATGTAGGTATACACATAGATGCAATTGCAAGCATTTATTACTACATGTAGATTAATACTATTCACTCATATATATGCATACATATGTATCTTACCATTTCAGAAGGGACACCTTTCTTGCTGTGGGCGAGCTCTTGAAATCACATCATGCCACTCGGTCGGATTCTTTGGCAGTTCTCTTCATATCGTTCTCGACTATTATAATAAAAAGAATCTTTGGTCTGAGAATACTTGGTAGGTTAGGATAATATTCGTAAAACGATCAGCTATAACGTATTATCCTACAGTCTTTACGTTCTGTTACTCTTTCATGAATTCAATTATGCGAGGTTGCCCGATCCAGCATTTCATTTTTACTGTCATAGATCTCATGATGAAAGATTGTGATTATGATAGAAAAAGTGACGGGGAAATGTTTCGCAAATGGAGAGAGCTAATCCGTGCCGAGTTTGTATATACGCAATATACCATTTGCCTTCTTTCAGCTGCCTAATTACGAAGAGGTATTCGATCAGCTCCCAGCGTATCATATATCACTCTGGCGTACATTTGAGATTGACCATACCCCCGTGTTGACCTACCCCAGTGAAGGAGTCTACAGTACATATGTAGTCTCCCGTTAAAGAGAATTCCCGGCCTTATATATCGATCCACTACCATTCTTCTCCCCCATTCTATATATATGAAAAGGCAGTATTCTTTAAAAGATCGAACGAAAAGGAATTATACGTAAACTGTAATCTATAGCCTTAACCTGATGACTCCTCCGCCCTATATCTGGTCATATCAGTGTTCGTCGTTAAGCACCAGAGCATTGATTTTTTTACTCGAGCCATACCGGTATATATATACCATCGACACGAGCAGCTACGGAATATAAATGTCGATTCTCTTAATCTCTCGGGGCGGTAATAGGCGGGCGACAACTCGTATTAACAAAACAACCTAACTCGCAGAGTCTTGGCATTATGCTCTGCAATATTTGCTGTCATCAGGTTGTTATAACGGTAAAATCTTATTTGAGGACTGAAAGGATCGATGGCATTGAATAATAAAGGGTCTTAATTACTGATAGCGTTAGGGTTGGGGCTGGAAGGTTTCAGTTCAGCAAACTTCATTTGATGCACGTCATTGCTAGTAGGGCCCGCTCGGTGTCTCACGCTCCGCATTGACCCGTGATACATAGCACTTGCCGCTCCACCTTTAAAGAGCTATCAACACCCAGCAACTCAACTGGAGTCGAAAACTCACTTCAGGGCTACATCTCGATACCAAAATTCTACATTATTCTAACCCAACGGTCTAAAGGCCTAATAATTCGGGATGTTGAAAATTACCGATAAAGTCGCCGCACTGCGACCAGGCGAGCCATTCCACAGCCTCGAATTCTTTCCCCCAAAGACATCTATGGTTCGTAACGCATACAAGTCATGACAGAGGTAACATAGCTAATTTCACTCAATTCTCAGGGGTTTGATAACCTCGAAGCTCGCCTTAGAAGAATGGCCTGCGCTCTTCGACCCCTCTTCGTCAATGTCACCTGGGGTGCCGGTGGTTCAACGGCAACAAAATCACTGCAGCTCGCTGAGCTTTGTCAACGACAACTCGAACTAACCACATGCCTTCATCTGACCTGTACGAACATATCGCAGGCCGTTATCGATGAGACGCTGGAAGCCGCGAAGGAAATTGGCATCAGGAATATTCTTGCGTTGCGTGGAGACCCGCCACGCAATGAGGAATATTCAAACGCACCTGCAAGCGACGCTACGGCAAACGGCACTTCAGGGATAGAGTTTGAATATGCAGTTGACTTGGTCAAGTATATTCGTGAGAAACACGGCGACTACTTTTGCATTGGTGTGGCGGCGTATCCCGAGGGACACGTCGAAGGGGCTTGCCCTGAACGACAGGATGTTGAATTCGATATTCCATTTTTAGTTGAGAAGGTCAAGGCTGGAGCAGACTTCATTATGACACAGCTCTTTTACGATGTCGATAAGTATCTATCATTCGAGAAATTGTTGCGAGACGAGCCCTCGGGAGTCTTCAGGGATCTGCCCATTATTCCGGGGATGATGCCTATTCAGAGCTTCCAGATGCTGAAGAGAATCTCCAAGCTCAGTGGCGCATCAATACCTCCGGACCTCTTAACAAGGCTTGAAGACGTCAAAGGTGATGATGAAGGTGTTAAACGAGAAGGTGTCAACATTGTCTCGGAAATCATCGAGAGAATCAAATCTACCGAGTCAACACAGTTAAGAGGCTTCCATTTCTACACATTAAACCTCGAGAAAGCTGTTTCTTTCATACTCGAGCGGACCAACCTAATTCCTGCACCAGAAGAAACAGTTTTCGAGGAGATTGATGGTCCAATAACTAATGGCAATAATCGTCGCGACCGAAGATCCTCATCCGTCACTTCGGATCCCCATAATCGTGTGATCATCGACTCGGATTCAGGTATAACTGAATCGTATGGGCACGCCTTCGCATCAGAAGCAGGTTTCTTAAAGCCCCCCGAGCAAAATAGGCCACCGGAAGTAGCCCTTGCTATCTCCGAAGGTGAAGGTTCACTCGGCCGGGAAGCAACTTGGGATGATTACCCTAATGGTCGTTTTGGTAACGCAAGATCCCCTGCCTTTGGTGAAATTGATGGATACGGCCCATCACTACATCTCTCTCAAGCACAAGCGGTTAAGCTCTGGTCATATCCTGTGACCACAGACGATATCTCTGCTCTTTTTGTCAAGCACATAAGGGGTGAACTGGAAGCCATTCCATGGAGTGAGCAGGAGCTTAGCTCTGAGAGTAAAGTTATTCAGGAGCATCTGATAAAGCTAAATACCAAGGGACGATGGACCGTTGCCTCCCAGCCTGCAGTCAATGCAGCGAAGAGTACGGATGAATTGTTCGGATGGGGTCCAAAAGGTGGATTTGTATTCCAGAAGGCGTTTGTCGAGTTCTTCTGTTCTCCGGACGATTGGACAGCATTAAAAGAAAAACTGGACAAGCTGGAAGAGATGTCCTATTACGCTGCAAATAAGAATGTGAGTTTATATCTTCGAGTAGATCGAGACCTTTTGCTGATGGTCGTTTTTTTTGCAGGGGGATTATCAATCCAACGTGCCTACAGGCGAAGACTCTCTGCACGCAGTGACCTGGGGTGTATTTCCAGGCAAAGAGTATGGAATTTCTCATTTCACTATTCCTATAAAGGTTATTAACCGTTGCCTCTTTGCAATTTAGGATCATTACTCCAACGATAATAGAAGAGGTTTCTTTTAAAGCTTGGAAGGTTTGATATACTAATGAGATCCCATTATCCGAAGAATCAATGCTCACGAATTGTGAATCAGGACGAAGCATTCAGCATCTGGAGCGAATGGGGACGAGTCTACCCCTCTCGGACAGCATCATCGAAGCTTATCTCTGAAATCACAAAGACATATTATTTGGTTAACATCATACACCACGGATACCTGGAACCGGATTTTCTGTGGGAATTTTTGGAAGCTTAGGATTCTTAGCTTTGGCTTTTTTATACTATTATGACACGATGCATGTAGTTACTTTTCTCTCTATTTTTTTATTTTAGCCAATGAGTTGGGTATAACGATTTGCGATTGGCTGGGCATGGGCGGGCTTTTTGTCGTTTATCAATTTGCATTGCATGTGGCGGGGGGAAGTAGGCGTATGACGAATTTGTGGTTGTGGATTGCGTTTGCGCTATGTATGCGTTAGAGAAGAGAGCAGAGGCCTAGAAAGTACGAATCAGTTGGTCTTAGGTACATTGTGGAGACTATTCACTAGGTTGGATAGTGCCTCTTATTTCTATACTGCAATGCCATTTGGTGTGTGAAACGGTCCCCGTGAGATAGTTCCTGGGTGCGCCGAACGGTAAAATATTGCCACAAGCAACCTCAGTAATAGCCATTAGTGATAGTGTCAACAAGGGAGGGAGGGAGGGAGGGAGGGAGAGGGGGGGGGGGGGGGGGGGGGGGGTTACATATGTTTTTTTAGGGAATCAATCCTTTAAGAAGCTCATTCGTGGGCTATGAGATATTGGGGTAGGGTCTGGGGCTACCTTGGCGACGAATTACGATTTCTGCGTGTGTATAATTGGCGAAGGGAGCGAGAAGAAGGAATTTGGTGAGTGTAATTAAACATCCCCGAGGTTACAGCTCAGTATTAAATCATGGATTATCACTCGTATTTGCTGTTCTCGAAAATGGGGCGGTAAACGTGCGACCCAGGTCCACAATGACTAGGGAAACATCCTGCCTTATTAAATGGCTTTTCATTGACGGTTACTTATCTCTTCTGAAAGACCTATTGATATGCTCTACTTGCGCGTTAATTAAAAGCTCGGAATTTTGTGTGGGGATTTGGTTGCAACGACTTCCGACCCTTTAATTAACAGGCGAGTAATTGATTAATTATTTATTATCGCGGGGTGCGCGGTATATAATCAAAGGGGGGGGGGGGGGAGCTCACCCACAGACAAACAATCCCGCCCCCCCCAAAAAAAACCAAACAAGAAAGGGAACGAAGAAAGACCAAAATAAGGAGAATCTCTCCCTTTCGATCTCTCGCTATAACACAAGGATCAACAGGTGCCTAGTCACTCTTTGTAGAGAGAAGTAAATGAAGTAAGATGGGGAGGGAGGGTGTGGGAAGGCCGAGAGGTAGTAGATAGCAACGGCCTTTTCTCGCGTGCGCCAGAGATAGTCCAAAGCTGTAGAAGAGGCGGGGTAGAGAGGTCTGGAAAGACCGCAGCGCTAGTTTCCCGGGAGAGGACTATAGCCCTCGTGGGGGGATAGAGAAAGAGGAAGGAGGAGGCCTAGTGTGGATCTCTTCGCTTCTAAAATAGGCTTGGGGGTTACTTGTTGGTGACAAGAGAAGGTTTGGGATGATGGGTACAACGTACGGCTGGGCTAGATCATTGTTTTTCTAGCCTGCCGAATTTCGTGGGATTTGGCCTGCTTTTTGTTCTACAGGGTTTGAGAACTTCTCCTTCTCGCTCGATACAAGTAATTGTAGTATATGTATATATGTGGTTGAGATGGTGATGTTTCGCTCCATAGATCTGGTCTGATCTATCAAGAAACTTGGTTCTTGAATAACACGATGTCGGACTACAAGTATTCACAATCACATGCGCAATAACGTATCTAACTTTATAAATTTACCTACGGCTAACCGCAATGGTTGGTTCTGAATCCGTTAATTTGCTCTAGTGATGTTAGTACACTTGTGCAAAGAGAGTGTGACATCCCACCGGCTTCCCCTCGCCCTGAAAGTAGCTACAACTACGCTCGCTAGGACGACGGCCTTAAAAGCGAAAAAAAGACGCCTCGTCCCGCAGCTCCGGTAGTGTAGTGGTAACACACTCGTCCGTAGATACAATCCACTTCAGCCTGTGCGAGTGTGCGAAAAATCCTGATGAGAGGATGGAGGTTCAAATCCTTCCCGGAGCTTTTCTTTTTTTCCCACAAGTCCCAACCAACACACTATCGCCGATTAAGCCCGGCTATAGACGGGTTTGGCCAAAAGGAATGCTATAGACACTTTTTTATGACGGTATGGCTTCGTAATGAAGCACCAAGTGACACTCCTTACCCCCAGCTACCACCATTACCCAACCAATATCATTGCCGTCATATCAGCATCACTGTTAGTTACCACCACATTACTCATATCATCGCGGTATCAACATTGGCACTCACCCATGCTTGGAAGAGACACAGTGGCCATATCACACGGCAATCAAATAATACACTGTTCAGCCAGCTCCTGTAAATGCTGGGCAGGGATTGCAATCACTATCCATCACTCGCTGCAACGGGGTTAAACTCTTTTAGAAACTTGGTAATGATCGTGGTGCCGGGTGGACAAAACACAAGACCGATATTCTGAAAATGGCATGTGGACTATATATATAGTTGAGGCGGATTGTTGTTGGAAGGGAAGGATGGGCTCTTTGGTTAGGTAGGTGCAGGTGGGTTAGAGGTCGCTCTTTTTCGGCGTGTAGATGTGATGATTCAGCTAATTCTTGTCTGAAGAGTGCTCATTAATTTCAAACCAGAAATATCACTAATATTGCCATATCTAAAATCTTTTTTTATTTTATTTTTACATATTGCCGGAGCCTCAGGAATGCTAAAACTAGGTATGTGCGTACCAAAGTAACTAGCCAATAACTGTCATAATACATATAGTTTCCACGTTTTCTACAGAAATAGTCAATGGAGTTAAAAAGATGCAAACAAAAACAAAAGGTCCTCTAACAGCTAGCTAGTTTATCATGATCAGTAAACCCAATAGCCAAAGACAGCAGTCACCAGGATCATAATTCCTGTCGACGCCCATGCCAGGATCTTGTCCTTGCGCCCTATATTCTCTAGTAACTTCTGACCTGCCTGCTGCTCTCTCCCTCTATTGGGGCCGCCCTGACTCCCCGCCGATGGATCCCCTTTACTCGTGCCCCCATCATTCTCGGTGACTGGAATTCCCACATCATGAATTAGAGTATTCTGGATCACCTCTAGAGCGGAAAGTTGTTCTCCGACCCCATACATCCCGTCCCAGTCATTCTCGTACCATTTCATGCCGCAAGAGTTGGCATCGGTACCCCATGAGCAGTGGCGCGCAGCAGCCATGGCGGAGGTGCGAAGCTTGGGGATGATGAGGGGCGCAGTGTAGGGCGCCATTTTGACTGTGAGAGCTAAGAAGCGGGCGAAGTAGGCCTTGAAGGAGCGTTGGTCAATGTTGCAGGTCATGATGCGCTCGCAGGCTTGCTCGACCATGATGTCGGCGAGACCTGTATCGGGGTGCGTGAAGAAGATGCGGTTGGACATGTCTAGGATGCCGTCGACCCGAGCGCGCCAGAGGGGGTCGCCGTCAGTCTAGGAGTGTTAGAGGTGTATGAAGCAGGTGGTATATGTATATCAGTGTTAATAGCTGGGAGGGAGCTTACATAGTTATACATATACGCCGCTCCTGCTAGATATGTCCCTGCGTTATAGGACCATTGCACGTAATTTATAGACGTGCAGTTGCTCTGCGTGTCAGAGCCATCGAAGAAGCGATAATCGGCGGTCGAAAGGCCTGATTCAAGCGTCCAGTCATACGCTTTCTCAGCCCAGTCTGCATATGTCTGGTTACCAGTATACCGCGCGAGTCTCGCCGCGAGTTGGAAGAAACATCCGTTTGAGATGGTGTTCTTGTACGAATACCCGTTATTGAAGGTGTAGATCTGCCACCTAAGGCCACCACCACACGTGTTCGCATCCCAGCGTGGAGCTTGAGTATTGAATACCGCTTGTGCAAGCGCGAGCCATTGTGCTTTATCCTTTGGAGGGTCTGGAAAGTTCTTCTCGGCGGCCGAGATTACGGTCAGGCCCCAGAAACATTGATCATCGTTTCCCTAACGTCCGAGTTAGAATATACAAGTGCGAAGGGATGGAATGTGGATTACAAGTGATTTCGACTGATTCGGGGGCATGTAATCCCAATCAGGGCCGATCTGGTGCAACAGAGCTTCTGTGACAACGGGATTGTACCCAGCGTCGCCAGTGTAATACCAGTAGTCGACCAGCCCCTGCAGTACTAATTATCAGAGCTCCATTCCGTTACTACTAAATCACTATGTGCTTGATTACTTACGCCAAAAACTGCACCCGACTCCCACCAGTAGTAAGGGTCCCCGAAAAGGCCCGGGATGCCGCCAGTGCGGTTGCCTGGATAGTATTGCATCATCTTGTATGCGACTCGCTGTGCAACATAGTTAACCGACCCTTGTGGCAGAAGCTGTCTTAGCATCAACAAACAAACAAGCTACGAGCGAGGGAGAAAGAAAGAGAGAAAATACCTATATCATCGATAGCGAGCTCGTAGGCTGTAGCTAGCGGTAGTAGAGCCGTGATCGTAAGAAGCGTGACAAAGCTCCAGTTTTTGCTGCGGAGCTTCATGGTTGGTTGGGGTGCGAGTGAAGTGAGATGTTGACGCGATAGGGAGGTGAAGTAGGCGGAGGCAGCATCGTAGGCGGTGATGATGTTGGTTGTGGTGACAGCATGTATCATAGTGTGGGGTAAGGATTTGGTAACATGCGGATCAAAAAAGCTCGTGGGGTTTACCCAAGCTGGGCTTTGGTGTCTTCTTTTTAGGACGTGTGTGTGGCTAGGTCTCAGTGGCCACATCTAGCTGATGCGGAAAGCTGTGACACATCAAAGCGTGTTGTTTGTGGTTACTGAGGTGATTGGAAACGGACAAAGGGGTGATGACCGTGAACGGAAAGTGGAACAACGCTTTCAATTGAGTAGAATGAGTAGGAGTAATTGAATTCATCCATGTATTCTCTGGACCAATAACGGGTGCAGGATTTCTTGTTGCAATTATCATTACGGTCGAGTGACAATTTGTGATTACACACTAGTTCAGCCTCCGTTGGTGTTAAGGGTCAAATCATGCATGTATCCATGCAGTACCGCGCATGAAAAATACATGTAAAAAGTGCCAGAATGACTTTGGATGTTCTCATTTTCTGTTACCAACTACATACTAAGTACATGTATGTATCAAATCCCATCCATAGCGCTAGCCCAGAACCATCAGCCGCAAAGGTGGCCTACATGTACAGGTATTTATGGAAGGAACCAAGCGCATTTGTAGAAGAATTCAGTCAGTACGCTGTTGTAGAATGAATGGCGTTACCTACACGTATCAACTGTTGCCAAGAGCTTGGATATTGTGTTAGCTATCGGAGCTAGTATCGAGGAACTTTCACAATGAACTTTATTTGTGGTAGAGATTTATAATTATCCAAGAACCCATACTTTATCATTTACCTTTAAATGGTTCCGTCGGGTATTACTACTGATGAGTTTAAAACTGTTGTCAATCATGACTATGCCCGGCCGCATGTTTTTTGGAGTACACGCACGCCTTCTGTAGCTAATCGATTTTGTGCATGAGGCCCTCCCTCCGCTCTTCGATTTCATTTCCTATTGGCAACTGGCCTTCCTCCTGTCTTATGGAGATGGTGAAATGGTAGTCACAGATGATATACCGCCTTAATATACTCACTAACGATCCCTTTTCTCGACAAAGTGCTACTACACCTCAATTTTACTCAACATCAACTTTTATACACGTCGGTTTTGGAACTTCCCTCCCTTTGACATGGAAGAGGATACTAACATCACTCGGTACTTGCGGATACATGTCCCGCCTTGTTTTTTTATGCAGAGACAAGCCTCGAGACTTTTCTATCCTTCTATAAATTGGAGAGCACTGTACTGTAGTAAAGGCACTGATCACGCCCGGACGTCAGTTTTCAGCACTGGCTGTCCAGAACGAAGAGATATCAACAACATGGTATTGTATGAAGCCCCCTGAGTGCCAGATATAGGTCATGATCAGTCAAAGTCATTATGATCCGTTATACTGAATAAAACTGTTTCGGAGCTTAACAAGATCTGATCTTATAGAACTTAAAAATATCAGACAATAACGGGCTACTAACGATCTGTACGTCAAGGGTATATCGAGCGTACCATAGAAAAAAACTAAAATGGTGGGATAAAATGAGTACGTATGCACGTACCTCTAGCTCTAGGAGTCTCGGGCGGCATTGAACGACTATAAGACCCCCCGAATCATGGAAAGGACATGTTGATTGCGGTAGATATTAAACGCAGTTCTTATATACAAAGGATATGTCCAGAATCCTTGCCAAAGGATAGTAGGAATAAGAAAAAAGAAAGGGTAGGGGGGCCAATGGAGTAGGAAAAGAGTATATTTTGTTTGAATTCGAACTACCTCCCTCCCCGCGACTATTTGCGTAATTGTTGCTATCTACCGGAGGGCATGTATGCCTCTAACGAGCAGATTACACATATGCCGCCCAACCTGGAAATCCGTTAGTTGATTAGAGCTTTGAGGCTGTACTTGAATTTCTCACCTGCATATAGTACCGCTAAGTTTCCGACATCGCTCGCCTGCTGGATGAGTTCGTTGACGGTGGCCCCCACACTAAGTGTTTTTGATAGTTTTTTGGCCACTACCGTCAATGCACGGTCTGCTTCTGATTCACCCTCTTCTTTCTCCGGGTTAAACACCCGCTCTACCGAGACTCTCTCAGCTTGCGGTTCTTCCTCCTGCTCCTGCTTCTGCATCCTCTTCATTCTAAGTGGAGAAATAGTCCTATAGTCCGTTAGTTCGGCACCATCTGAGCGTTTTAGTCATTCTCACCAGCTATAGAGGGGATCATATCGCAGCACATCTAGGATTGTGGTGATATTATAAGACTCGTTTCGAAGCACTGTCAGGGTGAATTCGCAGCACCGCCTGAAAACACCCTCCGTCTTGGTAATGCCCATACCGTCTATGATATCGCGAGTAAGTCGAAATGGGACCACCTCTGGTACCGGAAGAATTCGCCCCTAGGATTTTTGTCAATTAGGGCAAGCAAGATTGATATTAGATATATCGGTTCCTTACTTGTTCAAATGCCACACCTAAATCAATGTGCACGACTTCACCGCTTTTCTCATCTAATAAGATATTGTGGCCATGCCTATCTCCAAGACCCAGAACATGTCCTAGGATTGAAGTTGCAGCTGTGCTTCGGCTATAGGCCAGTCTAGAGGTGAACCAATCATCCGGTCCATTGAATTTATGCATGAAGAAATATCGCATGACAGGCCTGAATTTCTTCATAACATCTCGGAACACCGCCACTCGAAACTCACGAGACTTGAGTTGCACTTGCGCCTCAGATATCAGTTTCCGGCAAGCCGGATTCTTCAGATCTTTTGGATGGTAGCTTTCATGGGCTGGTAACAAAAAGTCGTGAAGAGGAATTGTATTGGGTACAAATTCGATTATCCCGGTATTATTAGTAAGGGGAACGACTTTGTATGTTCTGATGCTGAGATTCCGTTGGCGTGTGGTACGATTCTTTTTCAAAAGGTTGCTAACTTGTTCAAAAACCTGTTCCATGATTGCATCTTGTCGAAGGTCGTCGGGCCCTCCTTTGAACTTCCACTAGGTTTAGCAAGAAATCTTATCACACTAGGCGGTAAATAACTCACCAGCATCTTGTATCTTACTCCATCTGAAGCGCGACAGGAAACAATCTTTGGGGCGCTGACTCCTGATGCTATAGTAAACTCCGACTCGAATTTCTCAATGACGGCTAAGTTTGTATAATTGCAATCGGCCTTGATAGTGATTTGCATTGTAGGCGGGGGTATTTTTAGAGCAGGAATTTCCTTCTTAAACACAGACTCGAGTTTTGAGCCGAAAACCCTGAAGGGAATTTTGCCTGCCTTTTTATCTAGTTTTTCCTGCGCGAGGGAGATGTAGGCTTTTGTCGAATTAACGAGCTTTCCAAAAATCTCTTTCGTCCCTGCATCCACACCAAGTTTATTGATTAACTTAGCAGCAGCTGCGTCCCGTTTCTCCGAACCGGCGCCCTTGGGTGATCGACCGAGGGCTAGAATCTGATAGGTTCCGTGGTGTGGATGGTCTTTACATATCCGGGCAATAAGAGGATATAGAAGTTTTTGAAAATCGTCTCGAACGTCAAGTAGTCTGGAGGAAAGCTGATTCATAAGAGGTACAAACTTTCTAGAAGGAACTTTTGCGAGAGGTTGTTTAGCTGCATTATTGACCTTAGTATCGCTGGAATGTTCTAGCCAAAGGGCGCAAAACCGGACTGCATCGTTATCATAATCATCGCAAGCCGCGAGGCAACGGAGATAGTTCCCAATGCTCTTATCAAGGAAAGCATCCCTATTCTCCTGAAGCTTGTTCAACTCCTCGTCATCCAGGCTCAACCATAACGTGGCATTGGAAGTCATCTTTTCCAGTCTGTTACGCGCATTACCGGCTGGAGATTTAAGTAGTAGCTTCTTCAGCTCTTTCACTTCTGCTTCTTTATTTTGTCGAAGCTTAAGTGCTCGCCGATAATCCTCAATATTACCAGGGTTTTGTAATTGCTGGTCGCAGAATGATGCAAACTCGTGGAAGACTCGTCCTGCTTCTCGGCCAGAAATATTATTTCCCTTCAGTTCCTTAATGGCAGGACCTAGATAGGTACTCATGATCTTGTCTGGCTTCTCAAGACGGGCTTCGGAAATCCAGTTGCCCTTCTAATTGTCAATTTTTGCCAGAAACAGCAATATGGTAAAAGAAATGATCACTTACCAGTTTTGCCAATAACTTTGCTCTTCCAGTAACAATACTCTGTTGATTGATGAGACTGTTCTTTTCGAGAATTTGAAGCATCTTAATTGGTGGGACACCCCGTCCCTGATCCCATAAAACGTTTGCAGCTTGCAAGGTTGCAACTGCATCTATCTTTAGACCAACCTCCTTGCAAGGGTCAACAGCTTTGCTCAACTGGGTTGCCGCTGATAAAGAGTGCTGTAGGACCTTGTGACTTCTTGCCATCTTACAGGTGTCAACCAATGCTTTCGCTTCCAAAAACCTAGCAGTTTTCATGTCGACGTGAGTAACACGGCGAAGGTGTTCTCGCTTGGCCAAAGAACTAAATATTGTTTGGCGCATTGCCATGATTTCTTCAACGTCGGAATATCTGATAATAATTAGCCTAGGTTGGAGGGGAAGTGGTGTTTCTATATAATATTACCTCCCAATGTGCATCCAATTCTCACGCTCTTGTAATCGGTCCCAAACCTTCTCCAATTGATCAGCCTCCTTGGAAACAAGTATTTCCTCCATCTCTGTCAGCATTGCGAGTGTACGCATATTAGCCCCAAGCGAATGTCCTGTTTGCTTCCCAGTAGTTATCTGAAGCATCAATTCCAGGAAAGATGAGTCTAAATGGGATGGAATTGCCCGCGTATCGACACTATTATTTACTGACTGCAGAGTACGATAGATTATAGCTGATCGTGTATTACAAGACGAGGGGCATGGCAGATCCCATTGCTCCAGCTTCCACGCAGAACGAAACATATTATCGGTGGTTGATGCCGGAGCAACTCCACTCTGCAGGAAATAATGCGAAAGACCGTTCATACCAATGGCATTAAAGGCATCCACAAGCCCTCCA